CTTTCCCTCTCTCTCTCTCTCTCTCTCTTTCTCTCTCTTTTTCTCTCTTTCAATTTTATTACATCGTTAATTTGCATTGATTTTAAAATGGAATTAACAAAGCAATTTATTAATACTTTGAACTTCGACAAAAATATTCATACCAAAATTGACAAAAAATAAAAAAGTCTATTAATTTATCAATATTTTATTTTATTAGTATAAAATAATTTTTGTTCCAATTTTATTAATTTGAAAACGATTTTTAAAACCTTAATTTTACTAATTTATGGATAATTTTTGTGATTATTTTAGGATCAACAATTTCTTGTTATTTTTTTGAGGTAATTTTTAATTTGACATTCATAATTTTCAAGTTTTTTTTTGGTTTTTTATTTTTTTAAATTTTTATTAGTTTAAAGATAACTTCTAAAACAATTTTTAGAGAGTTGATATTACTGTCATAGAATAGAACAAAAGCATGAGAAGATGAATGTGGAAGATTACTATTCTGATTGAGTTAATTAAATTTTAATATAAATTTCACATTCGTAACAATTAATTATTATCGTAGAAGCAGTATTAAATTCCGGATTATTCGTACCGTGTAATTACATCCGGACAATTTTGCAGTTTTTGTGCTCATTAATAATGAATTCATAAATAAATTATTCATTAATAACAGTTACAATATGAAATAAGTTATAGCTTAAAGCTTTTTTCTCAATTACTTTCAACGTTTCATTCGTATTTATTTCATTAAATGATATTAAATTAAAGTAAATTGCCCATTTAAAATTTAATAAATTTTTAACTTTAACTATAAGTAAAAATTTATCGAAAAATATGGAACAGGAAAAAAAAGATTAGTCTTAAATAATAAAATTAAATAATAAAAATTTATCAAAATATATGGAAGAGGAAAAAAAAAGATTAGTTTATTAAAAGAATGAACAATTTTCAACACGTGGACACCATTAATTTTATAAATTTTTATTCATCCATTGCATTTGTAGAAAATAGAAATAATTGAAGAAATCTTTTCATGATAAATGATCGTAATTTCTTCTTTAATAGCATTACAGTTTCGGTATATTGTTGTCTTTTTTTGGTTACGGTAGGCTTCATTTTACCAATATTACCAACAATTTCGGATAATTTATACGGATTTCGTTTAATTTTACCATCATCGGATGGAAGATGATTGCATAATGTCGTATTATGATGACCTTTACGTAAAAAACAAATCGAATAATAACGACATTTTCCCTCACATATGAAATTATCGCGGCGAACACTATTTCTGTAATTGAAAATTAAAATTAAAATTTTATTAACTTTTTTCTAAATTGTGACCGAAAAATTTTGCTGAAATTAATGATTTATTAAAATTAACATATCGTGAGGAGTAAAAGATTTTCAGGTAATAAGTTATAAAAGGTGAATGAATTAAAATTAATAAAATTACGAAAAGTAACAAATTAGTTTTTTTTTGTTCTGTTCAATGAAATAAGTTAAGAGATATATAAATAAGAGATAAATAAAATGCTAAGGTTAAAAATATCATACTAGTAATTGAAGTAATCATTAATTATGGATATGAACAAATAGGTGAATTAAATAAATTTAAATTAAAATAATTTTCCAAGTGTTAATTAAAAACTAAATTAAATAACTTTGACTATAATGGTTTTTCAAGCTTTTTGAGCTTTAAGCTTTCATTGCATGTTTACTGTTAAATTTTAAAATGATGGCATTATATTTCACTAAAAAATACGTGCATAAGTCATTCAGAATGATTGATTATTAAGCCAATACTGTTGATAAGTTTGTAATAAACACAATCATACCTGATAAATCTATTATAGGTTGATTTTTCATAAATGATTCTGTTGATTAAAAGATCCCAACTTGTTGGACTCAAATCATTTAAGCCATATTCCTCCTGAAACTCAATTTTTAAATACAATTTAGATGTGAACAATTTTTTAATTATAATTAAAAAATTAAAATTTCAGTACAAACGTAATTCAATAATAATTTCTCTCTATGAATTTAATATTTACCTTTGCTGAATATAACAATTCCCATGCTGGTGGAGTAGTATTCATTTCAATTTGTGTTAGATTCAGAAAATAAGTATGAAAGTTAACTACACGCTGAAAATATGTCAAGCAAATAAAATGATAAAAATTTAAAAATGATAGAAGAAAATCTGAGAAATCAAAAAGCAAGGAATTAAAATTTAAGAATTGGAAAAGTTCTTTAAAATAAAAAAAAAACAAACATAATTCATGCCAGGTTCGATTTCATAAATTCGAAATGCTGGATTAAGATATTTGAATGTTGTCACACTTGGTGCTGCATAAAGTACGCTAATTGGTTTCGATGAATCATCATTCATATTTTCATAGAATACTGTAAAACTGTCCACATGAATGTGACCAAAAAATTGTGCTTGAATCGTTTTTGAAAATCTGAAAATATAGCAAAAAATCAAAATGAAATTTCTTATTCAAACAACAAATGAACAACTGAAATATAATACTAATAGAAGAAAGTTTTAAAAAAAATGGAAAATAAATAAATAGA